TTTCTTTTTGCTTTTTTTTTTTTTTTTTCTGACAACGCAATACTGTGATTCATTCTATTCTCAAGAAAAGAGGCACCGAGATTCGATCCTTCGTCGGTGGCCGTTATTTATCATTTGCTAATCCGTTTTTTTTCTTTTTCTACCCCTCACAGTCGATCTACGGTGAGAAACGCAGATTCGGGTACTTGGGACCTCCTCCTCAGGCTCAGGCAGCAGGAGTTGAGAAAAAAAAAAAAAAAAAAAAAAAAAAGAGAGAGAGAGAGAGAGAGAGAGAGAGAGAGCGAGAGAGAGAGAGAGAGAGAGAGAGAGAGAGAGAGAGAGAGAGAGAGAGAGTTTATCCTCCGATACAGTAGGTGCTGGGCACTTTCGGCATTCATTCATTTCAGTTTTTTTTCCCCTTTTTCCAAGAGGCATTTATTTACGTTAAGTGTAGGCCAAGTATTTTAGGTTTAAATACCATAATATTATAAATACTAAATAGAATAGAGTAGAGAACAAGCAATGGCAGACATTTGGACAAAAAAAAAAAAAAAAAAGGGGAGACGCTTGCTTTCTGAGACGAATTTCATTCATGGGAATGATACACAGCCGTGTTCGTTATGGTGATGGTGATACTTATGATGATGATGATGATGATGATGATGATGGTGGTGGTTTCACTGCGAGTGGCTGAATCGCAAACTACATAACCGTTATTAGTAGGCAGATCGTGAGTTCAAGCACCTACAGATCATGAGACGAAATCACGATGAATAAAATGATAAACAGAAATGCAGTCCTGGCAAGCACCTACTTGCACGAGCGAAAATACAGAAATACAGTCGTGGCGAGCTCCTATTTGCACGAATCAAAAACGAAAGAGAGAAAGAGGGAGGGAGGGAGAGAGATAGACAGAGGGAGAGAGAGAGAGAGAGAGAGAGAGAGAGAGAGAGAGAGAGAGAGAGAGAGAGAGAGAGGGACAGGGAGATGGGAAGGTGGAAGGGGGAAAAAAAAAAGACGATAGATAATTGGGGGGGGAAGGGAAAGTAGTGATCAGGAGAGAGAAGATGGAACTAGAGCGCGGGATTTTTCTTTCCCTTTTTTCAAGACGGGGCGGGGGATTACACGATCAGCAGCGAAGGATTGGAGAGGGAGAGAGAACGAGGAAAAAACAGAGCAAAAAAAAAAAAGTGAGAGAGAGAGGAAAGGCATCGAAGTGCAGACTGGGACGCCACGAAGAGGAATCCGTAAAAAAAAACACAAAGAACCCGAAAACAAAAAAAAATCGGAAAGAGGGAAGGGAAAGAGGGCGAAGTAAATCACAAAGGAAGCAAAGGAGATACAGAAAGGAGAGAGAGAGAGAGAGAG